ACTTTTGGCATTTTAGACTTTTTTTCTCTCCAAGGAATTCACTCCACTGCTTTAATGTCGCCCTTCAACAAAATGTCAGCCTTCAAATCCACAAAAATGGACAATAAGGCTTAATCCTTTTTTAGCCAGCAGCTTGGAACCATAAAGTTTTTGTTAAAGAAGCAGTTATTTTGACATTAAACACAAAATGTATCATTGACGTAGAAGGAGCCACAAGAGATCTCCAGATGTGATTTTACAGTCACATCTTTTTGATAGATACATTGTAATATTACTAAAGTAATCTGCACTGTTACTAGAGAGCAAAGTAGAAGTATTTATTTCCCTATTTTTATTTTGTATAGCATTTGTTCAAGGTTGAAAAACACAAACCTAAATGTACCTCATTTGTAATTTATAAACTAGACAAAAAACTCACGAAACATGTTTAAACATAGTGGGGGCAGCATCATGCTGATGGAATACTTTTTCTACTGAATCTTAATCCAGTTTGAAGCGTATTGCTTGAAATGTCTTGAAAATAGCGGTCACATATGGGTGTCATCCAGTCTCATTATCCAGTTTTCCAGTTAAAAAAAAACCAGTTTAGTTGGAACAGACCTCAAATAAAAGACTGCAGCTGTAATCCTACCAGTGACTATAAAGTAACCTGACTCTCTCTCTTTCTCTCAGTGTGTTAACCCGTGATTTTAAAACATGGGTCACCTGGCTAAAAAATGGCATTTTGCTCCGTTCCTATTGGCAAAAAAAGCTGGGTCTAACCCGTCATTGGAAAGCTGCGTGGCCTTTGTCCCCCTGTGACTTGTTGTCTGCTGACACCATCACACAGAGTTAACGTTGATGATGTCACCAGTGCAACAGAAATCCGGAAAGTAAACAATGGAGAGCAAAGTGTAAAGAAGCCAGGGTGTAGTAAGTGTGCTTTATTTTTTTGCTCTTTTGTCTGTCCGAATCCCCCTCACAACTGCTGCGCCATGTTTATGGAATGTTAACAGAGTTGTTTCCGCTCGTTAGATCAGATGGCACGGTGTGTTGACGTCCGTACATTGCATTTAATGGTATGAAGTAAGCCTAGGCAATTTTAACATGCGTTGCTTACCGAGTCGTTTGACCCAGGTAGACATGGGTCGATGACCTGTTTCCACTGCCACTAAAAGCCGAAAGTTCCTGGGTTTAAACTGGTTTTCCGGCCAAATGGGAAATGGGGTATACGATTCTTCATCACAAACTTCATGGGACTGTGGAAATAGACTCTGGACTGTCTCCTGTGCTGTTCTACATAGCCCCCTCAGCCAAATTATTAACAAGACTGGCTATAGATACCGACTCAGAAACAGAGCCCCCATGAGCTATCTCCTGTACATGAATGGCATTGAGTTGTATGCTAAGAGTGAATAAAACATTAACTCACTGATCCATACCACCAGGATCTAAAGAACGGACATAGGAAGATCATTCAGGCTGGAGAAATGTGGCCGGATGGGGACAAGAACAGGGCAGGTAAAGGTATGGTAAATCTAAAGGGAAGGTGAATAAAGTGCTTAGTAAATGGCTGAGCAAATGCTTTTGTGTTTTCATCTGAGAGGAAGAAGATCCTCATTTGTGCATACCCACTAAATAATTTGCTCACGATGGTCAACTGAAAATCAAACATTCAAACCCGGCTTTAGCAGGACCTGAGCACCAGAGCAATAGAGGCCCAGATACCATACCAGGCAAGATCACAGGTGCTGGCTATGAAAAGAAGCTCCATAAACAAGCCACCATCTCATAGCAGGATGTAAGATACTGGCGGAAAAGAAAAACATTGAGCGTCATAACCAAGTGGCTGTTATAGTGTACAGAAACATTGTTGCAGAGTACAAACTGGAGACCTGAAAGTAAAATTTTCTCTTTTGTTTTTTGTCCTCAGTCAGAACTGTATCATAACCTTTAGCTTTTCACTCACCCAACCAGCTTTTCTCTGCATCATTAGGTTTAGATTTTTTTGGTCTTATGAGAAGAAATAAATATTCCCACTTGTAAGTTGCCTCTACTGTAAGTCTGAGCTTGGCTCCATGTTATCATGCTTCCTGATTAAATTAGCTTTTACCAGCAGGGTTCTCATGTTGTGGATTCTGCCACTTTGCTGTATTTTTTATTTTGGTTTACTTCTGTTTTCATCCTTAAGTCAGTGTTTCCATTTGGCTTTTCTTTTCATAGAATGTCTTTTAAAGTGAAGTTTATTGATCAGTACCTATCCACTCTAAAGCACTTTCACTAAGTGCTTCTCAAGAAGTTTCATAAGCAATTTTATGTTTTGGACCTAGAGATGGCTTTAAACCTCATGACCCACATAGTATTTTTTGGTGTGTTTGTTTTTAGCAGTACAGGGTCCGTTTTATTTGTCATGCGGTATATCCAAAGCAGGATCTTTGGAAGCTATCATAGAGAAGTGGATGTTCGAATAGGGTATTTTACAAGTTTCAAGAGACTCAGATGGAGGTCGAGACCAACAATAATGTGAATATGGTGTTATTTATATTATTCTTATAATAATAACACACAAATGAATTTATGTGTATGACTTAAAAAATAAATAAATAATACGGTTAATATGGTTAATAAATGTCCGCCTGTAAATACATCTTAGTAAGTGAGCAAAGTATGAAAAACAGCAGATTATCGGACATTTATTTAATTCCCTGCAGGATTATGTAGCATGTAAAATGTTGCAGGTGTTAAAGAATACAGCTTTGACTGTAGGGATTGAATATAATCACACTTTCAATCGGTCATCATTATCTCCTTGTTCACAAGCTTGTGCGAGATACAGACTCTCGCGTTTTAAGATTCATTCAAAACAGAAATTAACTTATCCTTTGATCAGCAATGTCTTTAGATGAAGATATTGTTTTGAATTCAGTTTAAGCAAATTAGCTTAACATCTGTTAGTGTTATTACTGAAATCAGTAAGAGAACACTGACTAAACATATTAATACCATCCTTTTATGTTACGGCTTTATTTGGGATTCTTTTTGATAAACCAGTACAGCAATGCAAGTATTTAAAGTTGAATGAACAAGCAAATTGTTTTTACAGATACAAATATGGAAATTAAGGGCTCTCCATTGTACTCACACAATTTCAAGTCAATGTTGGCCGAGCGTCACGTCACGTTACTCCCCACACAAAGAAAGTGAAGTCGCAGATACAAAAATGAATATTTGCTTTTTCTTCTTCATTGTAGAGCTTAAGCTTTGTTAGATTGGAGAAGCAATCTGTGGAAATCAGTTTTCAGGTCTTACCACAGTTTGTTAATTCAGTTTAGGTCTGAACTTTGACTGGGCCTTTCTAACACATTGCTCCAAATACAGTATATATCCATGGTTCCTTCTCCTCAGTCTTAACCCTTTTGTAGCCTCTAATAGGTTTTCTATCTGGGTTGCCCTATTTAACCCCATTGAGTCTGACAAGCTTTCTTGCACATGCTAAGGAAAACATCCCCACCACATAATGCTGACACCAGGAGGTTTCAGCCACAAATCACATCTTGTACACAGACCCAAAACATCAGTTTTGGTCACACATTATCAGAGCATGTTCTTGCATGTTTGTGTCTCCTACATGGCCTGTGGCAGACAGTAAATGGGACTTAATTCAGCTTTCTTGTCTCAGTCTTCAAAAAAGACAAGACTTGTGGAAGTCAAAATTATAATTGTGCTTTGTACAGATTCTCACAGCTCACTTGGAAACCCTTTTTCTGGTTCTCTGATTAACCAACTAGGTTTGCATTGGCTTATGCTATTTATTATTTCTGATGAAGATTGAACAGAACCCCAGAAGCTGTCCAATGCTTTGGCTATTACTTGACACCTGAATCCTTGCAACAAACTCTAACTTCTTCCCCAATTTTCAGGTGCCACTCTTAGCCTAAATGATGCTGTTACAGTAGTTCATTTATGTTCTCTAATATCAAACCTTAGAAGCCTTTGCAGAATAAGGGGATTAAAGGCGCACCATTGAGATTTATAATAATACTACAAAGAACTGAAGCAATCTTCTCCTTGTTCTCCAAGCTTACACTACAACTTCCTAAATAGACTAAAAAACTTCTTTGGAAGGTTTGAGGCAATAAACAGTACTCTAGCAGTCAAAGCCATTCCACAGGGAGAGGAGGCTCTCTAACTTGACACTAGTGTTGTTTTCATCAACAGTGATGACGAAATCAGTTCGTTGATGCTACTTTTTTCATGACAGTAACAAAAACTGATGAGCTAGATATGGAGCTTTGATGACTAAAACTAAAACATGACTAGTCCTAGGTTTGAGTTTTCGTCAACGAGACGAGACTAGTCTAAATAAAAATTAGCGGGTCGTCAGTCAGACATTTAAAATGCATCATTGTGCTGTACTTCAGCAAATCATTATCAGATAATTCAGTTATAAATTTTAAAGAATCTGTTTCACTTTCTTTATGTCACTGTACAGTGCAGCAGAGTGCAAAATGTTTGTTTACTCCCCTTTACAGGTAGATGATTTTGTTTATGTGGTTGATAGTTCTCAGGCTTAGGCAACACAGCACCTTTAAAAAAGAAAAACTTTTAAAAATGAAAGCTGGCTCCCTCATTTAATACAGAAATACAGAGATGTGCACTTTGAAGCAAAATGCTAGACAATTGGTGAGAAAATTGTTTACTGCTGTACAAGAGGACCCTTATTAAAGCAAGAGCAGCATATTTCTCCTCATTAATAGAGGAGAATAAGAGATTTCTTTTGATGCAGTTGCCAAACTCACCCAGAGCCAGAGCTCTGCTATTAGCAGTAATGATTTTATGGAGTCCTTATATAAGATTGATTCTATTAAATATAAGATATTTGGAACCCCTCTAAACAGGGCCGGCCCGAGGCATAAGCGAACTAAGCGGCCACTTAGGGCCCCCTGGTGGCCAGGGGGCCCCAAGCAAAAACGATTGAACAGGCCCTGGTCAATTTTTTTTTTTTTTTTTTTACATTTAAATAACTTAAACAAGTGATATAAATGATGAATACCAATTAATAAATGAAAAATTCAAGACAAAATAATTTCTGATTTGTCAACAACTGCTCATGTGCATTCACTTCGCGACGGCAGCCGCAGACAGCTCATGGTACGCAGCGCGCGCCTGCATTGACAATTCACGCTGGCGCACCTGTTAATAAGAAAGTCTAAGCCATGTCAAAAAAGGATTTATCCCTCTGGTGCCGAAAAAAGAAAAGGAAAGAGGAAGAGAAAAAAGAGCAAGATAAAGGTATGTTTGCATGATTATTTACTGACCGCTATATTTTGTGCAGCAGCAGCACAGCTAGCTCGTCATCATAACTCATGTCGTGATATTTATTAATATTATTAATATACATTTATTTAGGTAGGTGTGTATTTTATGTGTTGATACATATCGGCGTAGGAGACCCAGCACATGCTGGAAGGACTATGTTTCTCGGCTGGCCTGGCCTGGGAACGCCTGCTTGGGATTCCCCCGGAGGGGAGGGAAGTCTGGGCCTCGCTATTGAAGCTGCTACTCCCGCGACCCAACCCCGTATAGGCGGAAGATAATGGTTGGATGGATAGATATCGGTTTAAGTTGGAGAAAACACAGATGCCAGCAGCCAGCTTAGCTAGCATTGTTGTTTGTGTTAAGATTAATCTACTAACTTAAAAGACAAAGCACATGCGCTCTCTGCTCTAAGATCTTTGGTGAGAGATGGTATTTTATCGTTATTAGAAAATATACCAAAAATGAAAATAGAGTGCAGTTTTATTAACATGGTGCTTTCCTCATATTTAGGCTGCAGTAGATCACAATGTTAAGTTTTTACCATATGGCAATTATGCCTCATTTGCCAATAGAATATGAATTGTTAGGTGAGGTGTGGAGTTTCTTGTGGTGCAAGATGGGAAAATAAACTCATTCTACAATAAATTATCAGTAAATTTAGATAAAACCAAATTCATGATATTCGGAAACAATAAAAAACAGGAAAATAATCCAATTAAAATATCAATTGAAAGTGTTGATTTAGAACAAGTACATGAAATAAAATTCTTGGGTGTCATATTAGACGATAAGTTTAGCAGGAAACATCAGATCAGCCTAGTAAAATGTAAAATAACCAAAAGTGTTGCTGTTATGAGAATTAGTTTCGTCCTGGACTACAAATCTTTGTTTATTTTGTACAACACACTTATTGTACCACATTTAACATATTGTGTGGAAGTTTGGGGGAATACATACAAAACAAATTTACAGCCGTTATACGTTTTACAAAAAAAAAATCAATCCGAATATTACATAAAGTGGGATACTGGGAACACACAAACCAGTTATTTATCAAATCAAATATACTGAAATTCTGGGACCTGGTCATATTTAGAACTTCACAATTCATGTTTAAGGTCCGAAATCAAAAACTTCCACACAATATACAGGAAATGTTTGGTGACAGAGAGGGGGGGTTATGATCTAAGAGGTGAAGGATACTTTAAAAAACAACACTTTAGAACAACCAGGAAGAGTTTTTGTTTATCTGTGTGTGGAGTAAATATCTGGAATGGATTGAATGACGAGTTTAAAAAAATTATAAATGCAAACCAATTAAAAAAACTGATTAAAACCGAGCTCATTTCAAAATACGCTATATAAGATTACTGTTTAATAGTCTATAATGTAATTGATGACATAAATAGTACTTAAAATAATTGTACATGGCTAAACATCATGTGGAATGGAAACAAGTGTTTTTTTGGTTTTTTGATGTTTTGACAGTTAATTGATGATAAATTGACAAGTAGGAAAGGGGCAGGACATTATAAGATGTATCTTCTACCTGCTCCTTTTCGAACAGAAAATATAAAATTTACATGTCACATGGGCAAAATAATTTGTTTTATATTTTTATTCTTAAGTTTGTTTCATTCAAATTTTTTCTTTCTTGATTGTTTTTACTGTCTGTTCGAAATAAATAAATAAATAAATAAAAACTATGCATTATGCAATGCTATTTTTCCCAGGAACACTGTTGAAGTACTTTGGAGAACAACCAACTTTACCTGCCCCTACTGTTTCGAGTGTCAGTGCCTCCACAGCTGATGATGCAGCAGGTGAGGGTTTTCTTGATGGCAAATGTTTACATAGCCTGTTAATATGACCTGAAACATTTAGCTTTTTATGTATTTCTTTATTTTTTCTTTGTTTGTTTTATCATTGCAGGTTCATCCACTGCACAAGCGACAACAAGGGAGGAGCACTTACATGTGACTGAAAGCGAGGAGCAGTTACATGCACCTACATTTACTGATCCACTGGTTTCAAACTCAGCCGGCACGACAGGTCTGTTAATCTAAGTTTTTGTTTTGTGTTGGCTTTACAATAAAATTTTCTGCTATGGTATTTCATTCTTTTGTATTTAATCTATTGTCCCTACAGGTCCTTCTACATCTGCACCCACTGCTATAGATTTCCCATCCACTGCCTCAACAAGCTCCAGCTATCAAGATGGATCAACAGCTCCTCCAATTGACCCAGTTGAATGGTCAGCATTCCTCTCAGATTCAGAAAGGACTGATCTGGTAAGAAGAGGGCCAGCGCCAATCAGTGACACCTCTACATTCCCCAAGAGATCAGATGGATGAAGCTTTCACTACCACTATACATACAGACAATTAGTTAATGGGGGAAAAATCAAGCGAAGCTGGCTAATTTATTCAAAGAAAAGTGATGATGTTTACTGCTTCTGTTGCAAATTATTTTTGATATTAATGTTTGTCTATATTGGTTTTATTTAAAATATTGCACATTTAATGCACATTTGCAAATAATTTATTGAATGTTTGTATTCAAAAGGTTTATTAAAACAAAGTATTGTATATATTGTTTATTTATTTTGTATTAATACATTACCATAGTCTATTCATTTTTAATATTCCCTATAACATTATAGTGTGACATTTGTGTCAGTAATCTTCTAGTATAGGTGATTCTGCATGGTAGGAGGGGGGGCCCCCAAATCAAATTCTGCTTAGGGCCCCCAAGAGGCTCGGGCCGGCTCTGCCTCTAAATATGATTGGTTTATCTCTGGAAGGTGAGGCAGCATCTGAGGTAACTATAGAATCTGAACCAGGTTTAGACTACTTTGTTCTAATCAAACCTTCAGATTTAGCAAAACTATTGTCTTCATTTAAGCCTTTATGTTGTTGTATATAAAATCAGGTTCCAACCAGGTTATTTCAATAAATATTCCCCCTGATTTCCTCCTTCAGTTTAGATGTGATTAATCTATCCATGTTACAGGGATATGTATCTCAAGCTTTTAAGGTATCTGTAATTAAACGTTTACTTAAGAAACCGTCTCTTGACCCAGATGACTTGATCAATTATAGACCTATATCCAATATTCCTTACTTATATAAAATTCTTGAGAAAGTAGCTGCCAAACAAGTGTGTGACCATGTACACCATTATTAACTTTTTATCACTTTTTGTATCAATCCAGTTTTAGAGCTCATTATAGAACTGAAACAGGTCTGGTGAAAGTTACTAATGATATTTTCAAGGCCTCAGATAACGTACTTGTATCTGTACTTTCCTGTTTGATCTCAGTGCTGCATTTGATACAGTAGATCATAATATTTTTATAGAAATAATTGAATATTTTGCAGGAATTAATGAAACAGGCTGGTTTAAATCTTATCTATCAGACAGAATTCAGTTTGTTCGCATTAATGATACATCTTCTGATGCTCCAGGGTTACCTGTGTTGTACCACGGTTATCAGTGTTAGAGCCATCTCTTTAGACAGCATGGGATTCATTTTCACTGTTATTCTGATGATACTTTGCTATGTAACTAAGTGATGAAACTAACCCGTGACATAGACTACAGTCATGTCTAGAAGACATAAAACCTGGATGAATCTTAACTTTCTGCTCCAAAATGCAGAAAAAACAGAAGTTATAGTCTTTGGACCAGAGTCTTTTAAAAAGAAGCCGATCAGTCAGTCACTCAATTTGGATGGGATTAAATTGATCTTAGATAGTAAAGTAAAAAATCTTGGTGTTATTTTTGTTCAGGACCTGCCATTTAAATCCCATATTGAAGAGGTTTCTAGAATTTCCTTCTTCCATCTATATATTATATACTGCAAATTAGAAATATCCTGTCCCGGGGTATTGCTGAGAAACTAGTCCATGCATTTATTACTTCAAGGTTGGACTACTGTAATTTTTTACAATCAGGAAGTCCACAAACTGTAATTAAAAGCCTTCAGCTGATCCAAAATGCTGCAGCCAGAGTTCTGATGACAATTTAAAAAATATAATTCAGTCAATCCAGAACAGAATTTAAAACCTCCTCACAATTAAAGTCTTAAATGATGAAGCTCCATCTTATATCAGGAATATGATTGTTCCCTATATCCCTAAACGAGCACTTCCCTATCAAACTTCAGGTCCAGTAGTGGTTCCTAGAATTTCTAAAAGAAGAATGGGAGGCAGATCTTTTAGTGATCAGGCTCCTCTCCTGTGGAACCGACCACCAGTTTTGGTCCGTGAGGGAGACACCTTCTACTTTTAAGGCAAGGCTTAAAACTTTTCTTTTTGATAAAGCTTGTAGTTAGAGTAGCTCTGGTTATGTGACACAATGTAAAAACACTTAAGTGGTTTGAAATGAAGTGAAAAACCTTGAAATGCAGAATTTAATTTAAATAGATAAACATTTTTTGAAAGAAGTGGAGGCATGTGCACTTAAACACTACATGCTGTGTTTAAAATCTTTGGAGAACTATCATTTAAAGCTTTAACTGGCTGTAGTGAGAAGTGAGTTCCTGCAGATGATTGATTTTAGATTACAGCTCTTGCTCTTAATCCAACAATGTGTTCGTTACACCCTCTAGAGTTCATCCCCCAAAGCCAGTATCAACATTTCCCTCTGCCACCCATCACCACCTTGCTTTCCAGTCCTCCACCCTCCTCCTTCTACAGCAGCATTCTCCTATTAGTCACTGGAGAGGTGGAGGTGAAGCCTCTGCCTACTCAGCATGACTAATTGCCCATAAGTGCCCATTTCACCGCTGGAAACAAAGCATCACCAAAACCAAACAAACAGAGTGAGTCACTCTGTGCATTGCCCTGATTAGGAATAAAGGGAAGAACACGTATTTAGGTAAAAGTGACATCTCCTTTTTACATCTGGCAAATAGATAAAAGCACTTTAAGAACTTCAATGGGAGGATGGGCTTCTGTGACAGGAGGAAATCTCGAAACAATTTCCCTGTTTATAGCTAATGAGGGAGAAGGAATTGTCCAGTGGGATAAGAAAGTTATATTTTAGTGAGCTGAAGAAATAGATGCTCGTAACGGAAAAACAGCTGCCTTTACTTGTGGTTGAGCTTTGCAAGTCTGTACAAAGATGTCTGTTGTGCATTATGTTGTTTCAGCTCAGGTACCGTCAAAGCAAATGTTTTTTATAACGGTTCAGCACTACTGGCACATGTAGAAATACATACAAGACACAATAAAACAGCAAAAAACCAGAAAGTTAGGCTGTCAGACATCAGCTGCAAAGCCTTGCTCCAAAATGTCCCTTTCAGCCTTACATAACCCCACTCTAATTTATTTCCCTTCCAATGTTTAGCAGCCGCAACATATTGACGGTTTGGTCAGTCCCACTCCAGACCATATTAGTCACACAGCACCACAGAAGCAGGCTAAACACTTTGCCTTTCTATGTGTTTATTTCTCAAATGTCCATGAGAAGGAATCACATTTACCAGTCTGCTGCAAGCTGTTTTTTTTCCAGCCAAATTCACCCACAGCTGCTATAAAAGGCTTCTTTTGTTGCTCTGTAATGTTTCTACAACACTTGTTATGTTAACCCCCTTTAACATGAACAAATACGCAGAAGTCAAAGTAATGAGTCAGTCAGGCGATTTTTTTTTTTGCCTGGCAAGATCATAATGAAACAGATTTAACCACTTTTGGTTAAATTTTAAAGATACAATCCAGTGGTTTATTTTTTGCCTAACTATAAAAAACATAAACACAGCTATGGTGTATAAACTGACACAGCAGGATTTCACATCAAATGGACAAAAAGAGAATCTAAACTTGGCTTGGTGTGTGTATTTACTCTGATTACATCAAAGGGCACATTGAACACACACTGATTAGCTATAATAGGAGCATGTCTGAAAGAATTTAACAGGCGAAAGGATCCACGATGTGTTTAAGCTCTTTTAGCTTCTTTACATTAAACCAGAGGAATAGATTACAGTTATTGTAATTATACTACCTGGTAAACATTTACCTGCAGAAAAAAAAATAAGCAGCAATTCCCCAGAAAAAATAGGATTAGAAAGTCTTGACAATTTGACCTGAAATTTAAGGGTAAAAATACTCTTTTAGGTACTTGGGACTTGGAACCATAGAAAAGCAGTTTATTAGTTGATTTTCTTAGTATTAAAGGGATTTAAAATCATCCTGGTATTATAGGACTGTTTTAATAGCCTTTCAGCTACTATGAATCACATAGTACTACTTTATAGCTTCAGTTTATCTAAATCGCTGTTGCCTGTGGCTTTCTCCATCCATGATATATGATCATTCTTTCCTTTTCACAAAATGCTTCCAGGTGCTTCATTCAAAACTATATATTTGGTTGTCAATACAATATTACCAACGACCATTCAGATCATTTCAATGAGGAATTTAATTACAAAGATTATGAAAAAAAGAGGAAAAAATGGTACAAAATGAAAACAGAAAAGGGCATTTGGAAAATTGAAGCTTGTTTTTTTGGGGGTAGATTTCAGCAGAACAAAATAGCAGAAACTGATTGGAAAAATTATCCCAGCATAAATTACCTCCAATGCAAGGTTGACTGATTTTTGCAAAAAAAATTTGGGATTATATACTATTTACTGTATTTAAGCTACTATTTCTTAGACAACATTTTAATAGATTCACTTAGTTTAATTTATTTGTCTTAATTTTTGTTGGAACAATAACAACTCTCTTAAACCTTTTCCTTTACCAACTGCTGTAGCTGTGTAGGACTGACACCAAAAATGCAATCAATGATGAACACATGCAGACGGTATTGAAAAGATGACCTTAAAGAGTGATCTAAAGAAAATGGGACAACAGCATTGGGGTATGTCAAAATGAATGCAAGATGACTACCTGGGGGGTTTGCATTTTCCTTGATAGCACCACTAATTTCTAATAATATTAATTTTATTGATGTGCAAATACTGACATAACTTAAAACTTTGTAGATTGTTCATAGCATCTTCATCAACAGTAGCTAT